AGTAACAACTAAGAGAATTCAGGGAGCACTAGATCCACTTCATAAGAGTATTTAAAAACAATTCTGTAAGTTTAAGGAGAAGTGTAGATGAGATCATTGAATAATCCAGTGATATCTTTTCTTCTGAACTATTTTTTTTTTTATATATATAATCAATGTGTTTGTTTCACTTGTTCTTCATGTATGACTAAATTCTCTAATTTCGAATTGATGGTGTAAATGAAATGTTGAGTACTAATGAATTTTCTTCATCAATAATTTAATGATATTTTTTATATACCAGGTCTTCATTTAATGTATATAGTGACTATATATGTAATTAATATCAGGTGTAATGTAGAGCCTAGGAATAAGAAAGTAGGCACAACCCTGTATATTTGATTGGTATGATGCAAGTATAGGCATAATGCTTGACATATACAAAATTTATAGATATGAATTGTAATGAGGGGGTTTTAACATTACATGCTTTATTTGCTCCTCTAAGAATTTTATAGTGTATCATACTATGAAAGTTTAGAGTGGTATTAAGGTTGGAAGGTTTAATCTGTTATTTGTCTCTTCACGCTTGACTGAGCAGTCGATGATGCATATGCTTTGAATAACATTGATATAAAAGGGAATCATTAAAAAATATATTGCATTTACATTCTATAAATCTAAAATATTTTATCCAAACATTATTTCATTTATCTTTTTTTTTTAAAAATTAAGTAATTGACACAAAAACTTTTTTTATTGAGTATGATAATTGTTATAATTGTAGTAGACAATACTAGTATTTGTAAGTAAATGTTTTTTCTCATGGGATAGATACTCTATTTTATCACTATATTACTTGATTCGGCACGTATACTTGCTTATATTAAGTGGGATTTTTATAATTTTTATATCGAAGAAAACCTAAGTATTGTTTAAGGATTGATAGAGCCTTAAATTATTTTCACAAATTTTTAGGTTACTCCATGACCCCCATATCATATATTGATTAACAATCACTAATCACGTTTGAATTATGATTTCCCGATGCCATGAAACTCTAAGCTTAAATATTCTTCTTGTAGAGTTTTTTTTTTTAATGTTTTAGATAAGTGTGCACACATTTAAAATACATTTTCTATTATTATGCTCCAAATTATCTATGTTGTAAGATAATGTAATACCTATTTAATATGTGCATAATTTTACCTTTGCATGTTCTGCTAAAAGTAGCTCACTAAATTTCTATATTTAACACCCTTTGTAGGTGTCTATTTTATGGTGTCTATCTAGTTCTAAAGTTGTATGAATTAATATAGGTTACATTCTGCCTATCTCAATTTTTTAAAATATAAATTTTTATAAATTTTCAGATTAAATTTATAATTTAATAGTGTAAAAATTTGAAGAACTCTATTCCCGCTAAATTTTTGTTGTCTAACTTTATATATTTTATAGAGATAATCATTCTAAATATTTAGATATTTTCTCAGAAATTTATACTATGTGGACAATGTATTCTTTTATTTAACTAGAAAATAATTGTAACCAAAATAATTTTGTTGTATATTTAAAGCTTAAAAAAATATTATGAATAATCCCTAGTAATCTCATGACATTCTGAAATTGTGAAATTTTGTTAAGTATTTGATTATATTGCCTACCAATAAATCATTTTTCAAAATTATGAAATTGATTTATTTACATTTCTTTTACTATAATGCAATGATATATATATATATATATATAATTCTTATATGTTTTAAATATGCGATCCTAAGAAGATCTGATGGGTGACGAAAGTTCTGGTATTAAATGCACAAGGAATGATAAGGGCATGAATTTTCTGAATATCATGTGCTAAGTATTAGGAGTCATAAGGATTTGTTTTCTAATATACTAGCATATGGAGCTATAAGGGCCTAAATTTTAATATTTATTTCTAATGGGAGGTATAAGGGCTTAAGATAAATTTATACTTCTTTTTTATTATGATATATAAAATACTTGTTTATTTACTTTTAGTCCACAACCAGCTTTACTTCAGACATTTGCAATTTATATTATGCTTCCTGCGATAAATTTCTTATGAACTATCTTTGCATTCAATTAAATGCAATGATGAATAAATTATTGAAAAGTTAGATCGGTGGATGTGACCTATGAGCTGTGTTGGCTCACATATATTCTATTTTTTTTCAGGTTCTGGGAAATGGAAAGATCTCGTTGAGTAGCTTAGTATTCGTGATGTTATATGTTTGAGTCGGTAAATATATTTTTTGGATTTTGTACACTCAGGTTATTTAATTATTTTGTCTCGATCTGTAGTTGTGTACTATAGTGCATAAATATTATATATACATTTTAATGATAAATAAAATGAAAAGAAATTTGTGGATGAGTTTATTATATTCTGTTAAAGGGAAGTTGATTAGAAGCTCTGTTGTCTATTTAAATAGAAGAAATTTTAAAAAATCTCTGAAACTTAGATCTTGGGCTCGGTCAGTCACAAGTTAACATGATAGGACATGTTCTATCTTCGGATCCTGTTAGGTTGGGTTTTGATAGTTTCAAAGCCATCCTCTACTTCCTATGGTTTGATCTTGATTAGCTAACCCCCACATTTGTCATCTATTAGGTTCCTTGCCATCCCTTCTCCACCAAGAAATTATTCTCTCTCATTGTTTTGCTATAATGAGACCAATACAATCCATAAAAATTCCTTTCTAATTTTTTTTCCTATGTTCCACCAACTCCCATGAGTTAGTTATTACTTTCTCTTTTCAAAACAAATGATACTTGAGAAATAATTGTCTCCCAATTTTGAAGAGCCTCTTGTCTTCATCATAAAGATAACGATGTTGTGCTTTCTCTATATAAATGATGAGGACAAAAAGTAATAAAAAATAAAATTTTAATAAGATGCTATCTGTTGGATCCAAATTTATCCATGGATGACAATTGACCCTACTAGAAGGCTAACTTTGAGAAAAATGAATTGAAAACCTATGTAAGAATGAAGAGAACAATATACTATAAAAAATCTATAGTATAAGGCCTCAAGATGTCAAGTGTCCAAAAGATTCAAATTGTTCCTCATCGCCCTTTATTTATAGGGATATGAGAGCTACAAAAAAGAACACTTACAAAGAAATAAGAAAATACAAATCTTTAATCATTCTACGTACATATTGCGAAAAATATGTCTTCTCCTAGGTGGCTAATAGGAGAGCAGCTTTGCATAACCTTGATAATTTGTATGTGGATGAATTCAATAGTGTAGAGTGTGTACATGAGAATATGCATGGGCGTGTCTATTAGTGAGTACTGAGCTGGAGGAGCTTGTGGTTGGTGGATATATTGAAGTTACCAACAGTTTGTGATGGAGCCTTGGATTACCAAGAAAATGAAGGTGATTAAGTCAGTATTGTAGGGAAGATGAGTTACATGGTCAAATAGTCACAGTAGAGCAAATCAAGGCTCTCTTAAGTAGGCGCTTTCCTATATTCGAGATGACAAGTACAAATGATGATACTTCACAATGGACGATTGGCGAGTAGCTCTAACTATTGGTCTTCCTTTATGCTACGAGCAGCGAGTTGAGTGATCCATATGAACCCTTGATTGCCTATGCGTGAGACGACTTATTTTTATCATCAGGGGCGGAGCCAGAAATGTTTTTAAATGGGGGCACAAACTAATACTAGTCATTAAATTACTCAAAATATTATTTTGTAATGTAATCGTGGATCATGAGATATATTTTTTATTATAAAAAATAAAATCAAAATTATATTTGATTATGTTATAAAGGAATAGATATATCACTCTCTATTTTATTATTCATTAAGAAATTAATATATTTCCTATAAAACTGCTAATGAATTAAGCTCAAATAAACTAATTTTATACTTAGGATTGTTTTATTTGAATTAATTGAATTAAGTCTTAATTTTAAACTATATTTAGATTAATTATATTTAAATTATAAGATAATATTCTACCTAATTCTAAAATAATTAACATAATGATTCACATTTAGTTAAAAACCATAAATAATAAAAAAATTATAAATTTAACCTTATTAAAATAATTTATTTACTTACTAAGATTTATTAAAATCTTTTATTAGTTAATTAACTTATTGCAAAATGATTTTATCTTTTTATGCAAAACATCAATGTCTTATTAATTTTCAAAAAAATAAAATTAAAAAAAAATCAAAAACAAAAAAGCTGGCAGCTGACATGTCTAATTAAAAAAAAAGAGCTGCAATGTGGGCAATAATCTTGAGTAGATAGTAAGTAGAATAGAGAGGGAAAAAGTAAGAGAGAGAAAGCACAAGAGAAAGGGAGAGAGGGGGATAAAGAAGAGAGAGAGACAATGCCAAAGAATTTTCGGCGGCTGCCAAAGTCGTGGGAAAAAAATTACAACAAAGGCAGAGGCGTAGACTGATTATTTTGAAATTAAATTTAACTATTATATATTAATTGTAATATTAATATAATTTAAAATATGTTGATTTTAATTATTGGGCCAGTGGGGGGCCGTGCCCTCAGGGCCCCCACTGTAGATCCGCCCATGTTTCCTGTGAGTCGGATTCAATGGTCCTCGGGTGAGCTCCAATGTGGGGCTCATTAGATTCAAGTGCCACTACCCAACGACTACCTACTAGATACCTAAAAAGCATATGAGATACACACTATCCATTCACTTATTCTCAACTATATTAAATAACCAAACTAGCTAATCTAGACTAGCCCAACAATATCTATTTTGTGTTATATAGCATCCAACAATATTTAACCATATTATTAAATTTTAATTATTTAACATCAACTAATACAAATTATTTACAAACCTAATTTATGAAAAATTAAATATTTTTCTTATAATCTATTACTTTGCCTCACCATAATTTTTTTTTCATCTAATGATAATTTTTGGGATATTGAAGAAAGCCAAGCACGTGTACATGACATTTACTTACCGTGACCTTCCGTTGCTTCGCCATAGCTTCTCACGCCCAATCGGTCAATGAAAGGCCGGCCTGAGCCCAACCCAACCTGTTTCTTCTTCCTACATGGCAAAATCCCCGCTTCTTCCGCAGAAACTTGGAAAACTACCTGTTTCCATTTCGTTCCTTTCTGGTCAAGCCGACGTAGCGGTTTGCCGCCGTGTCTGGAAGGTCAAACCTCTTTGAGCGGTAACCCTTTTGCCCTTAGAACCTTAGCGGAGAAGGGTCATATCGTTCATCGACTTGCCCCTTCTTTTTCACATCTGATTTTCTAGAAATCTTCAATCCTCGCTGTTTTAGGAGGTGGAGGAGCGATCTAGATCGAGTATCTGGCGAAGTGCGGGCGGCGTGGAGATTCTCGCTTTGTAATCTACAGAAATGTCGATGTCTGATTCGGATTCTTCATCCGTCGGTGGAGATTACAAGAATTTCCGGCAGGCAACTCGGGATCGTAAGTTGTTGCTCTTGCCTATCTGCTCTACGTTCTATTCACCTCTGTTTGTTGGGCGGGCGATTATGTTACATGAAAACAATTGAGTTGACAAAGATGAAAAATGTTCGAGGACAAATAGAAGAGGTGGAGTTAACATGTAATTTTAGCACTATATGTAAAAGAAAACTTGTTAAGTTCACTATGTACGCTGAAACAGAAGGAGTGCTAAGGGCGACCTTTGTATTAGAATGGAATCTGCCATAATTAATACAATATTTCATGAAAACTTGATTTACTGTATTCTTCTTGTATCCATCTTGAAAACAACTGAATGAGTTTTACGATGGCATTATTAGGAGGGACAAGAGTATGAGAGCTGACGTACGGAAAAAAGCAGGTTTGAGTCCATTCGGTCAGGATTAAGTTTCTCATCCTCGTTTATGGATGACAAAGCCTTTTTTGAAGCTTCAATCACCATTAATGACAGAAATCCTTCTTTCACTGATCTTATTTTTACTGTAAAATCTTCAATCCTTTTGCATCTTAGCATCAGGAATAATACCGAAATACAGGATGCGTAGCTAAAAATACAGTATAGTGAGCAGAACATGGCATGAATTAGATATCATTGAAGGAAAATGAAAATGGAAATAGGAACCAGAGAATGCAGGACCAGGTTTTGGTTTTTCAGCTACAAATACATTATTGAAGCAAAAGTTGAGAAGGAAACTAGAAGCATTTAAACCGGAATAAGGTTACAAGAGAGGAGTTTCAAATAATAACTTTGGACACAATACTAATATTGGAGAAAAAATATTCATTTAGGGATAAAGGCTTGATGTTGTTGTTGTTGGACACACAAGTCACCAAAATTTTTTGGCGACAATTGAGGTCTATATTGGTCTATGAGACTACTAATTCTGTGCTATGGAGTTAACACTTGTCTGGGGGATGATTTCTAAAATGAATGGTGCATGATAGTGTAAGTGAGCATGAGATTGAATAGAATATGCTATTTGTTATTGGATTTTACATAATTTTTTGGGGAATGTATTTTTGGAGGTCACCATAATTAGCTTGAAAATTTTCCAAATCATTAATACCTCATGCTACATGATTTATATGCCATCTTGTGCCACTATATTACTAAAGATCATAAGAAATCTCATGTGAGGGAAATGTAGCAGACCAATTTTGGTCTTGAGAAATTGAAATTGCATGTAGGGAGCGGGGTTCGAAACCATGCTCATCAAGCAAGGTTTGAAGTCCGCTTATTTTCTTAACACAAGGAAAATAAGTTGCCTCCTTTGTTGAAGAAGCCTTATTTTTATGTGCAAGTGTATTTTCAAATTGTGCCAATGGTGGCATATTTAAATCCCTATCCTCAAAACTTGTTTTATGCATGCTTAGTACTTATCTTTTGTTTCTTTTATGCTTTGATTTCTCAAGTTTATGTTGTTTTTATTTCCTTAGGTCTATTGCATGAAATGCTTCGATCAACTCGTGCAAAAGATTCAAAAACTAGATGGAAGGTACTTCTGCTTGATTCTTTTATCCTTTTTCTCTTGAAAAATACTTGACTCGCTATCATAAATTATTATTTTTGTCCATGTAATAATAAACTATGTTATATGTGGTATATATTTTATAAATGGAGGTGAAGGGATCACTCTTTCCCTGTTTCTAATTTTTTATTTTTTAACAATCTATTCCTCTTTATGAGTAAATATAACAAGTGACACGCTTATAATAGCCCGAGCTGTTAATCATCGAGATATTCTTGGTTTTGACTTAATGGGACTTTCTCACTTTTGATTGAATTTGAAACAAATGAGTTGGAAATACAAGAAAAATAAAATTATTACATCCATTAATCCAAAATCATTTACCAGATTTGTTGCCAAGCATACATTTAAAGTGACACTGATAATGTACTTGGTAATTAAAGAATTACACTAAACAATTTGAAAACCAGCAAACGATCCAAAGATTAGGGAAATACAAGATATAAATTTTCTAATACCAACCTAAAATGAAGTGTTTAATAAGGGTTTATAACAAGTACTTAAACTTGCTTATGTCTGCCAACAGCACTGAGAAGGTGAGTTCCTGACAGTGATTTGCCAGTCCTTAATCATATTGGCTGCAACGGCCTTCACAGCAAGCTCATGCAAAGGTCTTGACACAGCAGATGACAATGCTAGTGCACGTTGAGCATTTGGATAGGAATTAGATCCTTCTGGAGGGGTTGAGAGTAGCAAAGAAACGGCACCTTCCAAGTCTCAAATGGAGATAAGACTGTTTGGGCATCTTTCTTAAATTAAGAATTGGAAAATTATCGGGTATTAGAGTTGCTAATCTCAATGATTTGAAGTATTCCAGCCACCTATATTGGTTTGAAATAGATTACTGTTTTCAAGAAAAGAACACTAATTAAGAACAAAATAGAAAACAAAGAACTTGATTGGGACGTGTTCTTTAATCACAAAGTTCCCTATCTGCAACAGAAATCACTGCTGGCTTCCACCATTTCCCAATTCCCAGTCAAGTTTCTCTGTAAATTCACCTAATGATTCTGTTGTGCTGGTTGAAACCTATAAAAAATGCTAGAAAAAGAGCGAAAACCATTATAGGGTATAACCTGATCTTTGGAACTGCCCGCAACACCAAGAATATGGTGAATTCTAGAAGCTGTAGTTCTCAGATAGCCACGGTAATGCTGAAAAGGTCACACTGAGATTCCTTTTCATCAAGACTCCCAGCCAAACACTTGCTTGCTGGTGGATAACTACTTGGCATGGAAACTAGCGATCACTAAGGTAGGCTATGAGAACTCGGCAAACAAACTTGGCAAAGTCTTTGATGAGGACATCGACAGACGCTACCGACATGTTTATCGCCGGCGAAACCGCAGATCGACGGCCACGATTCAGCGCCTTTACTTTTGATTTTGATGTCATGATGTATTTTATTCTTGTCTTGTTTTATTTACTGTTTTTCTCATTTTACCCCTGTGGGGAGTTATTTTATCATTGTAGCCTAGAGGGCAATTTAGTACTTTCGCTTTGTATGAGTTGAGACCTATATATAGTGGTCTCTTGTATCATTTTGAGCTTAATGAATGTTTGAATGAAAATTTACTACTTGTCTTTTTCTTCTTCTTGCATGAGGGCTAGGGAAGGGAGATAGCTCAGGAGGAGCAAACCGCAAGACCCACCAATCGTTGGAAGAGTCCTCGATTCGTGGCTAATTCTTCTATCATCGCGATCGTATTTCATCCACTTTTTCCTCTACCACCCCCCCAAATCTTTCTCCCAAGCCTCTGTGCCGCCGCCTCTAGAGGAGCCCGCCGCCGGCCAACTCCAAAGGCCACGGCCGGTCACTTGTTGGCGAAGCCTCCCACCCATCCAATCCCTCCTTCTACTAGTTTCAACTTTGAAATTTGACTTTTCAAATTTCAAATTCTTTCATAATTTGGATTTCCAATTTAGGAAAGTTTTCATGACGAATTCCAAATTTAAATTAAATTAAATTGGAATCGTTATAATTTTATTTCCATGTCATCGCTCTAAAATTGGAAACCAATTCACTTTGTTTTTCCCCTCTCTCCCCTTAGCATGCCGCCGGCCTCACCATTGGAGGAGCCACATTGATGCCTCCATTAAGGCATTAACGACACCTCAATTTGAAACCAATTTCAAACCCTTTTCCCTCCTAATTTCCTCCAAAATTGAAATCAATTTCAGTTTTTCTTTTGTTTAAAATCTCCCTCCCCTCTCTATAAGCTGCCGGCCACTCTCTATTGATGGGCTCCATTAAGGGCTCATTAATTCCCCTTAATTGCATTTGAATTTTGAAATCCTCTTCAAATTATTCCCTCCAAATACACTTAGATCTGAAATTTATTTTAGATTTAGGGAGGATTTGAATAGGATTAATTTCCCCAAGCCCTAGCCCCCTCATTGTTGGAACCCGCCGCCCCTTCCCTTGGAGATCCCGCCGGCCTCTCATACCTCATCCTCCCCTCTTTTGGCGCAAGGCTCCTCCTTCATCATCACTCAAAGCTCGTCTCTTTGAAAGATTTGCCAACATCAAGCATGCATGGCGGACCCGGAGCTTGAGTGGGGTCTTGTGTTCAATGCCGACGGGAGCATCAACATCCTACGATCTCCGTGCTTCGACGTAGGATTTGAAGACGAAACCACCGTGGAAGAGTACTTGGAGAGAGTCGTCCCGATCCTTGCAAGCATCTACGACCGACAATTTTCAAAGTACAATTGGAGCCTCGACGGCCACTTACGACATCCCTCCCCACCGGCTACTTTTCCTCTGACGAAGTTCTTCGGCGCCCTCTCTCTAGTGGTAACATCCTTCATCGCTTGGATCTTCTATCTCTGCCAAAAGCCTACCAATCTTTGAGTGAGACGGCCACGAGGTGAAATTCTCGTTGTTAAATGTTGGGTTTTGTTACTTGTACTTTGCATTTAATTCTCCGTTGATTTTGAATGAACTGTTTTGGTTAATCTCAATTGCATCTCTTTGGCCTAAGCAAGTTAATATTTTCGAATGCCTAACTCGAATTTTATGTGCTAGCTTTAAATTTGTAACGAGCAACACTTTAATCGTTTCTCTTTAATTTCTAAAATAACTCCTAGTAGTTTCACATCAGTCTTGGACTCCACTATGATTTCCTCTCCACCTGCCTCTCCTAGACTAAGGAATCCACCCTAATACTCTCAAAGGATAACCTTAAAATATGCTCGTCAAAGACTTCCCTCCCTCACATAAAACTTAGGTATTTATAAGAAAACCTAGAGGACTAAAAATAAACTAATTTCTAAATTACCCCTTATAAAAGAAAAAGCTAAAGAGAGGCTTAAAATAAATAAATAAAAACTTACTAACCTCTATCCACATCATAAATTTCACTCAGTTCCCCTTTTCAGTACACGCCTCTAATTATTGGCAACCAAAAATGATGAGGACATCCACCGAAGAGTTCGACATACTTACCATCGGCGGGATTGTAGATCGACGGCTACGATTCATAGTTTTTTTTTATAATGTTTTAGTGCATTTCTTTTAATTATTTTTTCATTTTTTCACTTGTACCTCTATGAAGGATTTGTGTCATGTTGTAGCCTGAGGGCATTTGTGTCTTTTACATTTTGTGCTTTGGAGGCCTATATATAAAGGTCTAGTCTTTGTGTTATTTTGAATGATGATTATTGATATTAAAAATTTAGCTTTTGCTCATGGTCTCTTTGTGAGTTCTAGAGGAGAGGAGTAGCCTAGGAGAGGCTCACACAGACTACCCAACAAACCCCTTCATGGGAGCTCTTGGTTCTTTAATTTTTTCTTCCCCTTTTCTCTTATCTTCTAGCCGTCCCCACCTCCCAACCCGCCAACTGGACACCCCCATGTCTTCCCCTCCCCTTAGCCCGCCGGATCCCCTTTCCCCTCACCCGTCCCACCAAATCCCCCACCTCCCTTCCACCGGAGCCATCACCCAAGCCACCAGCTCCATTGAATCCCCACCCGCCGGCGAACCCAAGGCCAAGCCTTGGAATTTGATTTTCAAATCAAGTAGGCTTTCATTACTTTCCTAAATTAACCCCTTGTCATTTAGGAAGTTTCCTAATTGAATTCAATTTGAAATTTGAATTTCAAATACCTTTCTAAGTGATGAAACCCAATTAGGAAACCATTCAAATCTAATCAAATATGAATTTAATTCAAAATTTGATTTAATTATATATTCAATCACTTGGGCTCCAACTCCCTTCCTAAATTAACGCAAGCAATTAAGGGAGAGATTTAAGTCATTTGAAATTCAAATTTGAATTTCAAATACTTTCCTTATTTAAAAATCCAAATAAGGAAAGTTTAAGTCATGAATCTGATTTAACAATAAATTAAATTGGATTTCTTATTTACTTTCCTAGTATACAAAGATCTATTTAGATACTCCCAAAATCTCTCCATAATCCCTCTCTCCCCTCATGAAGACGCCGGCCCCATTAATGGGCATCACCATGGTTTTTCCTAATGAGGCCCTAGCTCTCATTTGAATTCTAGTTCTTCCCTTCACCTCATTATTTCCTTTAATTAATTACCCTATTTGGATAATTAATTCCAAAAAGGAGAAATTAAGACCTCAAATCCCCTCCACTAACCCTAGCCATCTCTTCCCTCATCCTGCCTAGCCCAAACCGCCGCCCCTCCTCTCCCGACCACCAAACGCCGAGCCTCCCTCTCCAAGGCACACAACAAAGAGTCCTCCCATGTCCATGTATGGCGGATCCGGAAGTTGATCACGGATTCATTTACAATTCTCAAGATGAAATTGACATCATTCAATCACCTTTCTTCGATCCTGGATTTGAATCCAAAGGCACCGTCGAAGAATACGTGGAGTGTATTCTCTTTAATTTGGCTGACGTTATCGAAGAGCAACAACCCACAGGATCGTGAAAGATTGCCGAATGAACACCTGTCTCTCTAACTCCGGCCAACTCTTCGTTGATCAAAACCACTGGCATCCTCTGTCTTTCAGTGGCATCACTGGGTTTGCTAACCTTCATTCTCCGCTAACCCTACTTCCAAGGAGCGATCGAGAGGGAACTCAAAGGTGAAAGTTCTATTTGTTAAGTGTTGGATTATTGTTAATTGCATATTTGTCTTGCTATCGTCTTGTTATTGTCTTGAATCGCTCTATTAATCTATTGTGTAATCGCATGCTAGAAGCAAGTAAATACCTACGAAAACTGGAAATCCTAAGTTCATAACTTAGTGAAACATTAATCTTATAAATTCATTGCTAAAATAAATTTCTTAATAAAATCTTACAATTCCGTTAATTGTTTCACATTAAAAAGATTTCTTATTTTATAAATAATGGTTCTTTGACAAAAATATAGTGCCAGACGTCTGGTAAATATAAAACCAAATGCAGAGGCTGTGAATACAATTTTATTGATTATGTAGAATAGATTACTTCATTCTTATGTGGCTTCTAAGATCCTGTGGCTTCAGCCATCTTTTCCTAAATAAATCTATCTAATTTTCTCCCAAATTTGAATTCAAGTTGGCCTTCTTTTCCTAAATAAACCTTTCTAATTCTCTCCAAACTTTGGTTTTCTATGGAAAGTAATTAAAGGTAGAATTAATCCACTTTGAGTCCCCTCTCTCCTCGCCCTCCGCCTACACTAGTGGGGCTTACAGGGCTCTTTTACCCACCAGTTAGACCGGTCGCCCTTGCTGGGGCAGGGTTGATTGGCTAGACCGGCTCAGCTGGTCCATCATAGGCGTTTTGTTTGGACTGTTTATTTGGAAGATTAGCAGAACTTAACAAAGAAAGAAAATGGTAAAAATTAGGAGTTATTAGTAATTACTAATGGTATTTATTGCATGCTTAGGATATTGGCCTGATTCTCATTACCAGGTCGTCTTCTTTTTATGTTGCTTACTTGCATGTTTTGATCCAGACAATATTTGGATGTAATTATTTTCTAGTTATCTGTGGATTTTACTTTCTACATGAAAGCCTTCAATTAGTTGCATCTTAGTTTCAACACTTATTCGCTCATTTGCACTTTTTTAAGATTATTCCCAAGATGTTTGTACCCTCACTTGCCCATACATGTTATTGAAGTACTGAGTGAATACCTAGGTATTCCATGCTTTTTACCTGGTAAATCTCAATATATTTATTATTTTTTAATATAATAATTGATGTTGTAGGTACTTATAATGGATAAGCTTACACTGAAAATCATATCATGTTCTTGCAAGATGGCTAATATCACTGAAGAAGGGATTTCATGTAAGTGAATGGAGACCCATTTGCAGATTTTTTTTTCCTTTTGGTCATAGAATATAGCTAGTTATTCTCACTGAATTTGCTCTTTCTTAAGGCCTACGTAGATTTGGCTAAACTCAAGATAGCTTCTGATGCTTGCTGGCATATGCTTCTAATTAGAAAATATTATCAAAATAAATTTGCAAGCTTTCACATCTTGAATGCATCTTTACCTGAATTATACCATATTAGTAAATGTTTATGTATGTTACAATTTTCAAAGAAATAATCTTACACGCTTGCATTTCCTTAAAGTAACCCTACCTGTATTTAGGTCAATTCTAAAAATGAAGTTTATCCTTCAAAATTTGAAATTCCTCTTGGCTCTTGGAAATCTCATGCCTGCCTAGATTTTTTTCCCATTTATTTGAGGACGTGGAAGTAATCTTACTCCCGTAATATTACTCCCGTGCGGTGTATGTAACTTCGTTTTATTCCTTTCATTTTTCAGTGGTCGAAGACATTTACAAAAGAAGACAACCAATGCCATCAATGGATGCTATTTACTTCATACAGCCAACCAAAGAAAAGTAAAAGTCTAACTCAAAGTTGATGTTTGATTATTATCATTTACTTAATCTTTCACTGATCACACGCATCTTTTCATTATTCTTTAACACTGGTTTTCTTCAATGATATTTCTTTAACTTTGTTGTTATTCACAAATGAAAGAAAACCTCATTTTAATGTACCTGAATTGCTAATGACATTAGAAATTTTATTATTTTCGGTAAATTAGATCATAAATACCGCTTTTTACTAGTGGTTGTATTTGACATCTATGAATTTAGACTTGGTAAGACTGTTTAATTATTAATTTATGTTAGGACTCATCTTACCCAGATTTTGATTCCTAAACTGGAAAGTTTAGACTTTGTTACGATAGTTATATAATGATGTGTTCCGTTAATGAGTCAATGACAACCAAATCCCTTTTATGTTTTCTTTAATTTTATTTCGTGTTTTGTTTAGCTTTGATTGCTTGCTATTACATGATTCATAAGGTTAGCTTCATCAACTAAAACAACATGAAGCCATCCTCTTAGTTTGGCCTTCTTGGTCTCATATCCAACTATACTCATAGTCTCAGAGTTTAGAGATCGGGGAAGCATGGCATGATTGCGCGCAGAGCAAGTGATGTAGAACGGATAGGACAGTGAGGATTCCTGCTGAAATTTGAGGACAGCAGAGAAGAATTTGCCTACAGGAATTCTGGACAGCAAATTTAGACTTCCAACGGTGCAGGACAGCAGGTTCCACTATTCAAACAGCGGTTTTGGAACCTCCAAGTGCTTAGGATGCAAAACCAATGGCTGAGAATTTCGGCTGCAGTTTTAGGGAGCAAGAGAGTTCAAGATTTGTGAGCTGTTGGAGACATTAGTAGAGGAAAATCAGCAAGGGAAACCTGGGAGAATTTCGGCCAGCAGGGAATACGGGAAGGAAATTTTGATTCTCCAAATTAAAGGCTGAGTTTTGGGAATAATTAAGAGGGGATTACATAAGGGGGAATTTAATTCCTAAGCTGTTACGTGAAGAAACTCACGGGATTGAATTGGATTGAGGCTCTTCCTAAATTAAAACTCTAGCATTGGGGAATAATTAAAACAAGGCAAGAAGGAAAATTCGGCCCAAGCAAAAGAAATAAATTGAATTATTTCCAAATGAACTTAAGAAGCACTTAGGAAATAAATCCTAAATTGCTCACATGGTGGCCAGCGGCATACATGGATCTGGGAGGTTTTAATGGGAGCAATAAAAGCTTCTCAATTTGGGTTATGTCATAAGGAAAGATTTATTTTCAATCCAATTGAATTGTTAATTCAAATTAAATTAAAAAATAGAAACTTTCCTAAAATAGTTTTGCTAATTTAGGAAAGATTTCAAAATGTTTTGAATTTGAAATGAGGGATTTGTGGAGGAAAATTTTTTGAGTTAATGAGAGAGTTAATTAGGAGCATTAATTGGCTCTTAATTAATCTTAACATCTACAACAGTCTTTAAAAGTTTAATTTTATTTACAATTCTATTAAATTCTACAACTTTATCCTTTAAACTCTTATCTGTAATCACACATGTACCATTTCTAATATGACTCATACTAAATACCATAGTTGCATCTTAAACTATCATTTTCTTTAGCATTTTCTCAATCCCATATAGTTTCGTGAATGCATAGAATATTTATTTTCATATGAATCATAATATCCATTAATTCTACTCATTTGCATATAACAGAAGCTATATTCTAAGTTCTTATTCTAATTCTAGTTTCATGGGCTAGTTTCTTTGCTCGTATCTGTCTATGATGTGAGAAACATTGCTTATTTAACATTGTACTTGGACATTGGTACAACAACCCTTGCACACTTCTCATTGTATTCAAGTCATATAACGCTTATCTTCTAGGGATGCCATAGCATTAACAAAATGTATTAAATGATTCATGTCATGATTATTCAAAAAGTTTTACACTGATTGTTGACTACCTAATGCAGCCCTCTATTTTTTACATCCAAGAATTGAAACTCATCGTTTCATGTCAAGGAAATTAGGATCTCATAGATTCATGCCAAGGAAGGAAATCAGGATTGTTTGCTGGAATTTTTTTTTTGTATATATTCAAATTTGAAATGTTATTATTTAGATAGTATGCATATTTTTCCTATTTTAATGTAGGCTAGTTTCTTATTTTCTTAGTAGATTAGTTTATGTATTGACTTGCATCAAATATTTTGAATGAATAAGAAAGATTTTTTTAGTTCTCCATGAATACTACTAGCTACAATCGCATGTGCAGTGCAATCTAATAACAAATAACAATTGAACAAATTAGAATGCTATAATCGTAACATTATAGAATACTGAATAAACTGAGAAACACAAGAACTCATGATTAAGGACCAATTAGATGGCTCATAGTACATCAGTTTGTGTTAAAAATTTTAATTTGTAATTTGTTTTTGGGCCTCGTTTGCACATACACTTTGTTTCCTATTATAGGGAATGAATTTGAGAACCAAATATAATACAAAGTAGACGTGATTTGTTCCTAGTTACTTTGGATTTTGATTTGATTCTAAGACCTTGGAACTTGAAAGTTTTTTATTGATTCTTGGTTTGGTTGCAACTATTGAAATAATGTGATTTGAACTCATGCATTGTATAATGATTTGATCCTTAATTTCTTTTGCTTACATCTATTGATTGATCTATAATCTCTTTGTTTTATATTAAATTCACAAGAAAAGGATCAAAATGGCCCATCAACTTTTTAGGAGGAATCAAAATAGGCCCTAACTCTTTTGAGAGACCAATTTACTCCCTCAACTCCTGAAAACGGTACCTATTTAGTTCTATCGTTAACTTTTAACGGTAAATTTGAATCTACAGAACAAACTATGGAGGAATAATTAGAAAAAAAATGCATAAGCTTTTCATTATGCACATAAGTGAATTGTTCGAACCCTTTAGTAACGTCGAGACCCCAACTTTCATTGGACTCCCACATCTTGCAGTGCAGCGTGCGTGAACAAAAGCTTCAATCTAGTGCCCCGCACACTCGTCGACTACCACTCTTGCAACCTAGTGAGTGTTTGAAGCCAAACGGGATTTGAGGGCCCATAAATTTCACAGTAGAATAAATCCTCTATTTTCCTCTTTTTGCTGTAAATTTCAGATTTACTAAATCCTGTGGTTCGACAGATTTACGAGATTTGGCCAAAAAAGCTCACAAAAGGGATAAAGATGGTTAACTTTGCAACAGCTCCCGTCGTGACTTCCGATCCGACATCAAAGGAGACGAAAAAGCTTATTTAGGGACTCTTTCAACACACTACTTCAACTAGTCAAACTTCACTTCACGCGAAGTACGTGAGGCACACGAAGAAATGTCTAGGAAAGTAAAATGGAGAAGATGAAAAGCAAACCCTAGATTAATGAGATAATTATTAATATAATTAATAATAAAACTAATTAAAGAATACTTTAAAATTAATTAATTCATTAATATGAGTATTAGTTAAATAATTAGTTATTAAAAAAATTAATTAATTTGATATTTATTAATATTATTATATATCAAATACTTATTAAATTAGCACCTAAATAAGTTATTTAATAAATAAGATTATAATTAGTAATTATAATTAGTAATTAAATTATTTAACAATTAAGTTAATTTCTGATTAAATTTTTTATCATTATAAATTGTTGACTATAATTAAAATTAAAATTAATAAATAACTAGTACTTAACATGCAATTAAATTAATAACACATTAAATTTAATTTAATTATAGTCAACAGTCGTCTCGCAGTTAATGTTATACTACTTCATGACTTTGCTGGTTTCGACGCTTTATTTGGATGGTTTATAGGTGGAACTGAGAAATCTTTGAATTAAAGAAAAGTCTAATAACATTTTTTTTACAAAAATTATAATTACTAAAAAATTATATTTATTAAATATTTTAATTAAAAATATCCAAATTACCGTCATATTTAGCAACATCAACTTTAACATTAGATAGCAGGACCAAATAGGTCCAATTTGGAGAGTTGAGGGACCAAATTGGTACCTCAAAAGAGTTGGGGACCATTTTGGCCTCTCACAAAAGAGTTGAGGGACCATTTTGGTCTTTTTCTCTTAAATTCACCCCTGGTTGTTGGACTAGATATAATTTATAGATATCTTGGAAGCCCTAATGCTTGACCTCGCAACATGACCTCGTAACAAAGAGTTACTGTAACAAAATTGATGATTATTATGGACTTTGATACCTTGATTTGTCGAGAAGAGAGGACCTGGCTCCATTTGAGTGAATCAATATGATTAAGAGAAGTTGATTGGTAAGGCAAGGAGATTGGATGCCTAAATAGAAGAGAGGCAGAGAGAGAAAACATGAGTAAATTTTATGGTTAGGAGAAGGAAGGTTAACTAGGAGGAGCAAATGCCATTTCTTAATTCATTAGTCAACTATCTTCAACTACAAGCGAATTCATATTATTTACTAAATTATAAGTTCCTTGGACAATCAAACTCTTATAGGATGTAGGAACAACAAAATGTATTTAAGCTGAAGGCTTATTTTTTGTTCTTATCATTTATTAATTTATCATGCAGTGTAGTTATGTTCTTATCAGACATGTCAGGAAAGTCACCTCTGTATAAAAGGTATGCTTATCAGTATGGTTTTGATGCAAAGATACTTATTGAAGCGTTTTTTTTTTTGCGATACTTAGTTTATCTATTTTATTTGTTTCAGAGCTTTTGTGTTCTTCAGTTCACCTATATCTAAGGAGTTGGTCATTCACATCAAGAGTGATGCAAGTGTACGACCTCGCATATCTGCATTGAGTGAGGTTAAAATTATCCACTTTGATTTCATCTTATACGGTTACATTTCGCTTTTTTACTAGTTAGGACGGTTGGCTTCTTTGCTGGAAATGGTCTCTTATTTGTACTTAATTTCTGCTTTTTTGATGAACAATTGCAGATGAATTTGGAATACTTTGCCATCGATAGTCAGGTGCTCATAGTCCTCTATTTTCCTATTTTTTTTATTTTATTCACTTGCTTTATTGATTCATTCTGTGCATGTTTTGTATGTTTAATGTGCGTGAACTTGGCGTTTAGATAGATTTCATTAAAGCTTCACTTAATTTAGCCTATTAGCCGTGGATGGTCTTCATATTAATTAGATCGGTTCAACTTGCCTGTTTACTTGCACTTGCAGGCCTTCATTACTGATCATGAGAGGGCTTTGGAAGAGTTGTTTGGCGATACTGCAGAAATTTCTCTGGCACACAATGCCAGCATACAAACAATTGCGACACGTATTGCTACAGTATTTGCTTCCTTGAAGGTATAATTGTAGCAGTTCTTACGATTGACATTTTGAGAAATCATCTCTTGCCAATTAAATGATTTACTATTGATGATATGTGGAGGGCAAGGGAAGTATTGAAAATTTGTAATCTACTATTTTCCTCATGCGGTTTAACTGAATTATTTTCTTTTTCTTTTCTCGAAGTTGTTGATGAATCATAGTTGCTTCCTATTATTACTGATTTGATACGTAGATAACTTTTTTGTGTTGACCCCGCTGAAAATATCCTTTTGAACGGTTATCTTATTTAATCAAACTTAAATATTTTACCCTACTATTATTCTTTAAGAATAATATTCTGATGATTCTTGAAGTTAAGAGGGTGGGGGCGGTGATGTTGCCTCCAAGCTGATCTAGAGATCAATGGGTAATTGAAGTAATGGAAAAAACTTCTCTGTCATGCAAGGAGTTTCAAAAGTTGTGCTCTTCAACTCCTCCTGTGATTTGCATTGGAGTGAGTTTCATGCATCGAGTATGCCCCTCAATTCTCAAAATTACAACATTCGGGGCAGATTTCTTCAGTTTAATGCCATGTTCTATGATAGCTTGAGGTGATGTGGAGGATCTGAAAACTTTCCAGCATTGCTCATAAAATATTAGGGCTTGTTTTGTTTATTTGACTTAAGAAGCATCTTTTATACAGATATTGAATTTGGAAGTCATGAAGTTTTATTTTTAAGCTCATTTTGGGTTTTCAAAATGTTGGTTTACTTCCAGCACAAAGTGCAGCTCCTAATAGGAAAAAATGGTAAAAATTATTTAATAAAGCATTTACAAAAAAGTTGGTTGATGACTATGGAGTATACTTTCTCTTTTTAATTGTTAGTAATTCTTTCTTAAGCTTTTCTTTCATTTTAGGAATCTTCTTCAACTAAAAATCATGTACGGGAATCTTTTGCTTAATAAAACATTTGTATTGTGATAGCATTTCAGTCTGAACACTTGAGATGTACTGAGAATTTTAATTTATTTATTTTTTCTCTCCAATTCCTTATAGGAATTTCCTTATGTTCGCTATCGTGCTGCTAAGTCAAGCTTAGATGCTTCGACCATGACAAGTGTTCGTGATTTAATCCCAACAAAGCTTGCTGCTATTGTTTGGCATTGTCTTGCCAAATATAAGTCTTCAATTCCTGATTTCCCACAAACAGAGACCTGCGAATTACTAATTTTAGACCGATCAGTCGACCAGGTACATGTGTTCTTTGTAATAGTTTGACTGTTTGATAACTTCGATATGCTTTGCTTCATCTGTTTAGTTATTCATTCGTGAACAATGTGTAGATTGCTCCAATTATTCATGAATGGACTTATGATGCTATGTGCCATGATTTACTAAATATGGATGGAAACAAATTTGTTCATGAGGTATACCTAATTGTTTTTGTTTTTGTTTCATTGCCTTTTTTTCCCTTCTTTTGTTGTTCATTGATGTGTTTCTCACTGAATATGAATTAGCATATTTAGGTGCCAAGCAAAACAGGGTCAACATCTGAAAAGAAGGAGGTTCTTTTGGAGGATCATGATCCTATCTGGGTTGAGCTTAGGCATTCCCATATAGCAGATGTGAGTTTGATGACTAAATTTTTTTTTTTTTTTAATATAGAAATATGAAGTTGAATCCTAGGAATTAAGTGTCTGCCAGGCTAGTGAAAGGCTTCATGAGAAGATGACCAACTTCATATCAAGAAATAAAGCTGCGCAGATTCACAATTCAAGGTAGTAATTGCTTAAATTTGAAATTTGATTTTGAGTATTAAATAATTCAAAGTAGATCTTTTTCTGGAGAAGGTGAATAAAATGTTTGTAAAAGTTGTATAGGAAATCAGGCATATATTTAAAGATCTATGGCCTTTTCCATAATTAAAGAGGCTGTCATGTGGCAAGCATTGTTGCTGTGCTTTGATTATCAACAACTTGTATTTCAAAATATTCATTGAGGTTTAATTGTAGACTAAGAAGGTCATGGACCTTAGAAAATTTTCTAATCTAGTAAGTATGCAATCAAATAACCTAGCCCAATATTCATAGTGATATTTTGTCTCATAAATGCAGTTGCAAGTATTAGTTATAGATTGGATCTTTAGTAAACAAGCTAACATAGACTGGGTTAAATGCAACAAAAATGAAAGTGCTCCAAACCTCGATGATGACCATGTTGATAAAAATTATCAAATGTAGGGGACCTCACTTTCAAAATGCTCTCAAATTTCAACACAAATTAGTTTGGGTTTTGATCTCAAAAAATTTCGAATTATAAAAGCATTAGCTAGTAAAATCTACTAATAAACTTAAAAATATCCATCCATCACTGCAACTGTTTGTTTAGGATGATAAATTGAAGAATAACCTCAGCTCATAAAGAGCAATGTCTTGTCTAGCTTATCTTTATGATTCATTCTCATATAATCTCTTCTAGCAAGGATGTATCATTTGTTTTCCATTTGATGATTTTTTTGCCAAATGGCACATTTGACTTGGTGGTTTTACTGTAAAATAAAACTGTTGAATTACGATCACAACTAGAGCCTGCAAGTTCCCCAATAACTAAAAAAAATCTTGAGTAATGATTAATGAATAATATGATGCACTTGATAGGGCATAAAGTCTTCTATTAGCTAAGATTGACTTCACTGTGTCATTTTAAAAAAACATGTGGTGCCTTCAATCGTCTAAAAAGCCCCAGTTCTACATGGTTATCTTCGACGAAAACAACTCATTGGTATGGTCAAATTGGGTCAAGTAACTCTACCGACTAAGTAAAACAATATTCATGACAACGTATGACGATGAAACTATGGATTTTGATTTTTGTCATTATTCTCCTAGAGTTGTCAATAAATGAGCTGACCCCCCAACCTGTCCTTAAAAATTTAGGTTCGGGTTGACTCGTTTAATAAATAAGTTAGGTTCAGGTTGGATTTTTAGACCCTTTTTTTAAACAGGATGGGTTCGGGTTGACCCACAAACCCTCTTTTGACTTGAGAATGATATGTTTAATATCTTTTCTCCTTAATTTTTTTTAATTGTGGGTATAATCTTTTTATTTTTTTTATCAAACATTATGAAATTAATAGTTAATAAATTCTAGTTTTTTTACCAAAAATGGGTTTGGGCTGGGTTTGGGTCATTCGTGTTACTAAATAATCGGGTTTAGGTTAGTGTTTTTGACTCGTTAATTAAACAAATCTGGTTCATGTTGACTGGATTCGGATCGGATTCGAACTCGACAAGTCAACCCGTTTTAGCTCCTACATTCTCCCTCACAATTTGCTTTAAGTTTACTCTGGTATATTTTCTATCTTAAGTAAAAAATGTTATTTCTATACCCTTAGCATTTTTGCTTACAACGAGTAGCTTTAATCGAAAATTTTCTTTTGTCACCAAGAGGGGTTATTAATCATAGGCCCTTGTGCTTATGGAAAACTAGGAACTAGATTCTTCGGTCTTCAGAAAGTGAGGGAGAATTTTTTGTTTGGTGTCTCATCTGCTTTTTAATGTGCTTTCTAGAAAACCCAAAAAATGCAAAAATTCTTTTAGGAGAGCTAGAGCGAATTTTTGAAGCACATAATAGGGTGAATAAAATTTGTAGAAATAGAGTTCCTTAAAATAGATGTAACATCTGATGCAATACTTAATTGGGAAAACTATAGAATGAGAATTCTTAAAGCTATCTCCAAAAAGTTATGGTAAGGCTAATGATGATAATGATTTACACTATCTTTCTGTCTTTTGAGATTTAGTTTCCATTTTTTTATTGTTTGGTTGAGTATACCTGGAATAATGGTGACTATATGCCTAAGATGCTAAATATAATTTGAGTTCAGGGGCTTTCCCTGGTTAGAAGTTGTAAAATAAGTGCATGTTTTGGGTGGTTATAACTTTAATGAGGGGGAGAGGGGTAGGCATTTAATCTTATTTGTTCTAGTTTGATGTTTTTTTTACAAATTTTTTCCGTCTTTAGTTAAATCAATTTTTGTGCGGTAGGCGGGCCCATGATCATCAACAGTATTTTTGGTAGAGACGCCCTTCACTGGTTGTTGTAGGAAGGTTTCGCAGGACACGCTACCTCTGCTCCGTCCTATACTTCCATTGTGCTCAAGGTGTTGAGAATGTTTGATGCAACCAAAAGTTCCCAAAACAAATAGGAGAACCTTGGTCACAAAAAAAAAAATAAATACTTTCCTTATAACTTGAAATAAAATGACAAACAACACTTTAAACACTTTTAAACATAACAAAATACCACTTTATAACATAAAATGACACAAGATTAGAACATAAAACTAAACATAAAACAACTAAAGCTGCTTTTCCTGATCGAAAAGAAAGATACAAATGACGTCGAACTTGCGGAGAGAAGAAAGAGGTAAGAAGCCGAGACGAAGGAGAGGCATAGCTCGCAAGCTATCCTAGAAGAAGGAGAAGGAGATATATAGCTCGCAAGCTATCAAAGAAAACCCTTAGGTTTCTTCCAAAAATTCTAAAATCTCTTTTTAAGCACCAAAACATCTTATATTTATAAGAGAAAAGGGGCAGCCAAACAGTCCAAATTTCCTCCAACCTAACTAATCAAAACAAGGGAAAATAGAAGGCCAAGGGGCTGTCCAGGAGCAACACCCGAAGAGCGACACGGGGAACCGGAAAGGCAACCACGGGAGTCAGGAACGAGCACCACAGGGAACAGGAACAGGCAGCCAAGGGCGAAGGAACGGGCAACCAAGGGAACCGGAACAGACAACCAATGGGAATCAGAATAGGCAGCCACAAGGGGAACCGGAACAGGCAGCCAGGAAGGGAAAGAATCAGCCACGGGAAAGAGCCAAGGGGAGGAACCGAAGGGCCACCGCCCCTCCCCCCTACATCAATGTTCTTGCCTCATGGGTAAACTAGTGGGGTGAGTTGTTGAATAGGACTTAGCGAAGTTGTTGTACTCTTTAACATTGTTGTGATTGTTGGCGAGTTTTAGTAAGTCTGCCAACTTGGCTACTGTAAACTAAGTACCTACTTGAATGTCCCTTTTCTCTGGCCTTAGGTTAAAGTCGCTTGGGCAACAGCTAGTTTAAAAGTCTTTGATCGCTAGCATATCCTTTTGTAATCTGACATTGATGTTTCTCTGTTACTTGCTTGACTCCCATTACATATTTAGGAAAGCGTATGAGTTCTTCAGAGGTATTTGGGTGCTTACAAATTGCGTGAAGAAAATCATTTTGAACTCAACAAAGGATATGATAACGCCTAGTAGCAAGAACGAGCGCCACCAGAGAGCGGACACCTTGAAGGTGGTGAATAATAACTTATACTTCAGCATATCATTAATGTCCATTAGTGAGGTTGCCGACTTAAAGTATGCAATGTGGTTAGAGAGTCCGATCTTCCCTCGTATGACTCTAGGTGGGGCATATTGAACCTTGTTGGCATCCTCGTTTCTATGATATCCCTGGAGAATGCATTGTTCAATCATGGCTCTCAACTCTCCTGGGTGCGGGAGTCGATTTTTCCATTGCTGATGTGGTAGTTAGTCTCATTTGCAACGAGTGTCGATGCTAATGCCTTAACGCTAGATCTCCCTTTTGAAAACACTAAATTTGAGGATCCTTCAAATGCGCGCTCCCTTGGGGCCTCCCTCTGGTTCCACTTCAATGGCTTTTGGATAATTCTTCCTAGTCTTTCCTCCATCTCAATCAAATTGCGATTGATTGTGAAGTTTTGGTTCTTCATCTTCCCTTATGCTTCTTCATCTTGTTTCTTTGCTTCATGTAGTACTCCACTTCTGGTCACGGACATTGATTCGTAAATCATGCTTATCGCATCTAAGAGGATGTTGGATTCAAAATTATTCATGGGTGACACCTTTAGCCTATTGGTGAGTCTAGTTAAACATTGATGTAGACAAGGGGGGGGGGGGCAACTCATGTCCAAAATAAATCAATTTGACCTCCCTCGAGTTTACAAGCTCAATCAAAATTGAGCTGAAATTTTAGCTCATTTATGAGCTGGTCTTTAGTTCACTTATTGAACTAAGGGTTAGCTCATTATTAGCTAACATTTTAATTCATAGTTATCTTTTTATTAAATGTAATTTTTATTGTTTTTATGTCTTTAATTATGTTTGTCTCTTGGAATTCCAAACCGGACTTTGGAATTCCAAGAAGTGTTGTTTCCCATGCCGTGGCTCCTTGGCTTCCACGGTGGGCTACTGTTTTCCATGCCATAGCCCTTGGATTTTCGGCCGGCTGCTGGTTTTCCGAGCCTGGGGGTTTTCCCGTGGCTTTGGCGCCTTGGTTCCGTGCGGCCTCTTCGGCTCCCGTGGTGGCTCCTTCGGTTCTTGGGTTGGGCTGTTTTCCGTGAATGCATGGGGGGAATTTTCATGCTTGTGTGTGCTTGGATTCGTGTGTGAATTCAATGCCAAGTCTTTTCGTATTCTCTTCTCATACCTATATATATGAGATGGTTTGTTTTGTTTAAAAAATGAAATGAAATATTATTTATGGAAAAGCTATAACCTGCGGGTTTGCTTGGAAAAGCTTGCGAGCTTTGTCCGTCTTCTTTCTCATCCCCTCCGGAAATCTTGCGAGCTCTTTCCAACCTTTCTTCTCGGCTTCTAATCTCTTTCGTCTCTCCGCAAGTGCCACTCCACCTGTATCCTTCTTCTAATTGTGAAGCAATTTTAGGGTGTCATTTTGTTTGCTAGTCTTTTAAATTTTAAAGAGTTGTAA